ACCGTCGAATGAATACAAAAAAAGGTTTTGTTTAATGGCGCCAGAATTGATTATTATTCTACAGTGCATTCTAAAATCTTCCTTTTTTTGGCGTAAATAATCATAATCTGTTACTAAGGTGTTTAAGGAATGAAGATAACATGTTTATAAGATTTTAAAAAATTGTTTTGACTTTGGAATTATACTTCTACTAGCATTTTTTCTATTCTTAATCTCTCACTCTTCATTTCTATTTATCTATAAACTTCCTAGACTAGTCTTAGAAAATTAGACAATACTGTTTTAAACTTTGAAGGCCACCCAAAATGATAATATGAAGAGGGGAAATTGGACAGATTCATTGTGAATATTATTTATAGCATATAAACAGATGAATACCGATGTAATGGAATAAAGATAATTTTTTTTTTGGTATACAAAGATACGGATATACATAAATATATCGCTTCTTGCCTTTTCGCGTTATTTTGATGTATTTACGTAGATGGCATCCGACCAATCTATAAATTATTGTTTACATTTTTATATTGGAATAAAATATTTGTTGATTCGTTATGAAAAATTCAGAAGACAATTTTTTCTCGAATTTCTTCAAATCAATCAGTCTCCATAGAATGGATAAGTTTAACATAAATGGTAGAGTAGAAAAACAAACGAATTTTGTGCTGAATATATTCAATTGAACTTAAGAATTCGAAACAAAGGGCAAATTAATCTACTTCATTGTGAATGATATGATGGGATGAATAGACGAATTATATTTTTGACTCTTTGTTAAATCTGTTTAACACTATTTCCTTTTTAACCCGTCAGTTTGATGATGATTACTCAGAGTGATATTTGGTTTATTTTCAGTGTGATGTTTTTGTAAGATGCGATATTCTTTATACTGAATTAATATGAACTATGTTCAGTGTGTTATGCAGCATGCAACTTTGTCATTATCTCGTTTATACGACTTTTTTTCAAGTTAATAATCAAGTAGGTGCATAAATCAACACATAAATAAGTATGTTTTCGACGTTGTGTTTTGGAGGAAACAAATGTTTACTTGTGTTCCCATTTCGATTCGTAGGATTTGTAATAGTTCATCTTTCTCGAGTTTATGTAATAGGGTGACGCATACAAAATACTGACAACCAACCGGATACAATAGGCTTAGATAAAAATTAAGATAAAAATTATTGTGTTTCGCTCAATGTTCGGTTTCTTTACTTTGTTGGGGCACAGTTTTGGAGGTTTGGGTTTTTACACATTTGAAATCATTAATCAATCATCATTGTTAGACCACCATTAGAAACCTGGAAGCACTGGACGGCCGTTTCGTCCTAGTATGGGACGTCTTGCGTGATTAACTGTGTCATAATACTACTTATTTAGTTTAGTGAATGTTGTTCTGTAATCTGATTGTTTGCCATTTTCACTTAAGATATAACAAACTTTTCACCGATAAGGTCTTCAAGGACATTTATTTTGATCGTGCTACTTAAGCTGCAAGAACATGAACATTTCATTCTAATTGTGAATGTTGAGTCGGGTGTTCATAGTAAAACTGAAGACAGAAATTTACAAAACGGAAAATGTTAGAAAAAAGTATTTTTTTCTTCAATTTCTAGTAACTGACGTTAAGTTATAGTTTGCTTCTTTCGAAGTGTTATTCAAATAACTCAACTAGTATTTGGCAAGTAAATTTCACACTTAAATAATATCTCTCTCTTCAAGCTAGTTGTACATTTAATTACGCCGAAATTTTTTTATAGAATTGGCTATTGTTTAACTTCTTTCAGTTATATTTCTTGTATTTATTTCGGATAAATTATAATAAATCAGAATGAATAGAATGATTTAAAACATTGAATCACCAACAATATCATTGATGTGTATCAACTTATCTCATCTACAAACATAAACAATTCAATGTATTTGCTTGTGTGGCGCAGTATTATGCATAAAAAATAACTCTCACAAAGAATGTGTCTTCTAACAATACATTGTCATTATTCCTTTTATTGTGTTTCTAAGTTAACAGAACATAGAAAAGACAGAAAAACAAACTAATACCAACACATAATTTTAATGCAGTCCATTTTAAGGTTAATTGGCATTTACTGTACCGGAAAATTTCCATAATATTGAGAATAGAGTATAAAATAAACAAACAAACAAGCAAACAAACAATAATTAGGAGTATTCGAATTTCTCACTTAGATTTTCTATTAGAAATAAAATTATATGTTAGTAAAGTAGGGTATTGAAAAGAAAATGTTATCCTGACCTTAACTAACTATTTTACAGACTATTATTATTATTATTATTATTCCTTGTAAAATGAGAAGCAGAATTTTCATATTATGCTTGTGATGTTGCGTGTTGACTAGAGAGTTAAAAATCTGTGTTATACTGCTTTTTCTCACTTTTTATGGATGTGATAATGTCCACTAGTTAAAAATGAATTGTCCGGATTTCCGATTTGAACGATCGAAAAACAAGAACATATTGTTATTCTCTTTTCTATTGTTCAGATAAAATTAACTTGAAAAATAAACGAGTCTATATACTATATTACTGACTGTATATTTATTTTATTGTAAGCATGCACGAATTGTAATGGAATGCATATATATAATTTTTCATAATACAGACTTATATTACCTTCTCAACGCACTTATGTATACAGATTCACGATGATAGATTAGATAATTTCTAAATCACGTTTAATGTTGTAAGGTCTAAACAAAGTAATAAACATTTCCTCAAAATAAAGTGCTATAACCGTTAACATACCAGTATCATGGAATAATTGAATACAATAAGTTACCATTCCGTTTATCTGAGAATATTGCTTAAACAGTTTCAAGCAGAAATTCATAGATTCTGTTGTATTTTGGTAAATGCAATCTTCATGTAGAAACTTTAACGAATTTCAGTGTATGATGTTCAAATAAATCTAAGTTTTCAGGTATGTAGAATCTTCACTGCATCCGCATTGCTTAAATTCCTTTCATGTGATAAGATTTGCCAAGTATTTCATGAGATTCGGCAATATCCAGTGTTACTAAAATGCAAACCTTTTCCCACTTCATATTACGCGGAGATATATACATCATTATGAAAGTATGTTGGAGTATAGTATGTTGTTTGTCTATATCCTGCTTATTGCGGAGTTATTATTTGCATGTACCATAACAACATTTAGGTCACATCTAGTTATACCGCAATAACAAAAGTCACAACTGGTCCACCCACTGACCGAAACGATCTTTGCAACCAAACTTTATTCTATCAAGTGCTTTCTAATTACCAATCAAAAGTAGTATAAATAAAGCTATATAATTTAGCGGGTTTACAACAGAGGCTAAAAAGAAATTTTTGCCAAAACTCTTATAACAGGCAGACTGTGATCTCTAACTTCTCTGACGAGGTCAGTGGAACGATATTTTGACTACATACTTTCATGTGTGATGTGAACGATCAAATCGAGCACTATATTCACAGACGTGAGCAAGACTACAGTAGCTAGGATATCCCAGTTACTCTCTGAGGGTAAAAACGTGGTTATTTTATCTTTAGCCAAAACTAAAGCCAGCACGGCCGTGAAGTCAGATAGATAAATGCTGAGAATCTACTTTATCACCTAAATCTCATCAATCTTTCCTTATACATAGAATGATTGCATTCTTAGGACGCAGAAAGTAAAAGCTATTATTAACGAACTTCAGTTGATGTTTCAATGTTCGTATCACTACTACTATAATAATAATCATAGTAATTATTGTTATTATTACTATTAATAAGTGCATTCCTAGTTGAGAGATTAATCCTGATATCTTCAAGTTGAAGTTGAATCGTAGCTGCTCATGAATAATAAATATTGTCACGGCTTCGTTATCTCCTACACTGCGTTACTACTCACTGATGGTGGACGAATTTCCTCTCATCTAGTATTTTATCATTCTTTCTATATTTTCTATTGACAGTTTTTTTTAGCGTAGTGCTTGAATGAGAGTATTAGAACCGTATCAGAAACCTTGAAAACTTCAACAGAACTTATCTTTTATATTCTCCGAAATCTATAAGTTGATTCCTCAAGTAACAGCTGCAAGTTTTATACAAAAACATTTAGCAGAACAAATGAACCACTATGATAATTCCAAGAATGCTTATTCCTCAAGCCAGCCACAGAGTTACAATGAAAAAACACGGTAAAGGAATAAGAAAACTGGGCATTATGACACCGGAATCCATATATTTCCTTCATTTCTATGCACAATTTTTATTGACTAGAAATTTCATTTAAAGTTGCTGAATTATGTGTAGAGGTATCTGATGTCATTTCATTTGAAAAACTGTGAATATTCTATACTTTTGATACTGATAATCCATACATATATATGTATTCATCTACATATGACCCGCACATAATTTTTCATGAAACGCAGAAAATAAGTTTCTCGTACATGCTATTTTTTCTAATTGATCGCCTCAACAGAACACATTCCTGGATCGTAAATGAACATTCATGTGACAGCAGAATCATACAATTGAACCAAGAATGTGTGAATTTAAATATATATAATAAAATTTTCAATACATCAAGCCAGATATTCCATATGCTTAAGTTGTTATGTGGTAGAACATCTCATATTTGTAGCTTTATTTACGGATCTCATCTCCAGGACAATATTTTGTTCTTAGCAAGTTATCTACTTACTATTTGTTAGTAGTTAAATTAAAATACCCAATTTATAGTTTGGCATTACGAGCTGATTTTAATTGGAAAACCACTGAAAACTAGTCGGCACTAGGATAACTGTTTATTAATTTGTATAATTCTGCATGGCTTTCGATGAATGTATAAAAAATGTTAACTGATACAAAGAACTAGAAATCTAGTAGTTTCCTCAACCCTCTATAATACCAAATGCCTAAATGAATAGCAAAGCCACTCTTTATAAGAAATACATTTTTATTGTTTTTTTGATGTTAATATGTTTAATTGCTCAGAAATTTCTCGTATTCATGGAGTCATCAACCGAAAATTGTGTATAACTTTTCAAGCTGGATAAATCTGAATTGAACGAATCATATTTCATACTTGTAAAAGAGAGATCTTCATCTCCCGAAGAATTTAGATGAGAGAATGGCAAAGAATAATTACTAGATTGTTGGAAATGAAAACTGAAATCACCATCTTGAAGTCCTTGTTTATAATCAGAATGAGATTTGTTGGCATCAGAAGAAGTTGTCTCGAAAAACTGCTCATCATATTGTACTATCTCAGTGTTTTGTTTGAACTGTCCCTGGAACTCTGTTGCCACTTTAAATTCACTTGGCTGAAGGTTACTCAATCCATTCTCGGTTATACTTAAATAAATAATTAGAAAAGTATCGGTTAATATGGCAAGGTAGATAAGAGTTTGTAGAATAATAATCTGTACATTGAATTATAAATGTCAGAAACTGGGTGATTGTTGTAATAGTAATGTTGGCTTGTAAAAATTCACATATGATAAATTTATTTTTTTATAAATATAATTCAGTTTAGTTGTTGAGTCAAGTGACAAAGCAGCCATAAAAAAAGACTATTTAAATCCACATGGACAATATGTCATATACGTGAATATGCAACGTCAGATATGGTAGCAAATATTTCGTGTTGTGGACTGTCGATTGAGGTAAAAAGGATAATTAACTGTGACAATATAGAAATCCAGTTCAATCAAGGTAATGGAAATTATTATAAATACTACTATGTGAGTTGATTTAGGGATGATGTAATATATATTTTAGTCATTTCCTATCGGATATATGATTCAACTGTCTATATCGATGCAACAGTGGACACTAAGTTTGGAAGTTTGTTGAGGAAAACTCAACGACAATTTCCATTCAGATTTTAATGATAAAAGTCTTAACTGCAAAAATTTCTTCAAATACATGAATATTGAGGATTATTATGAATTTGTGAAATGATAAGACTGTAATTTCAGTTAGCCAAGGAGACGAAAAATAATGCAAGTTAAAATGTGAGCTCAGCGTTGGTCATAAATTATATCCACGTGAAACGACGGTTCAACTGTTTGGGATTCAAATTCATCTTTAGGTGCATACAGAGACCTTGCGAAGACATAAATAATCTGCTTTACTAGTCATTCCGTTTTATAACACTCAGAGCTGACCTAATTAATAACAAGCGTCACACAGAACACAGTTGGTAGTTTTGATTGAATGGCTCTAAAACAATATCATAGCTGAATAGATCATATTCTGAGAAGGGTAGACATCTTATATCAGGTTGGCTAGCTGATTCACTAACTCAACCTGGTAGTACTTTGAATTTATAAAAAGTGAGCTTTAATACTATTAAATTCATCCTTATTCTATGGTCACTGAATGTTTAAAAGGATACGTGTCATTTAATAAGAATATCAATTATATATATATATATATATATATATATATATATATATATATATATATATATATATATATATACGCGCACTTTGTTTGGCAAAAAAGACTACATGTTATCATGATTATTTCCAATCAGTGAAGCCTATTTGAATCTTAACTGTTTTATTGATCTCTTAGTTTGATTTTATCATGAATTTTTTTTAACAAACTGATCATCAAATAAATTTAAATTTTGGAATATCTAATTGATTTGAAATGAATCATCTGATATTCTTGTAATTAATTATATATGATTTCATATAATATTTTTTTTCATTGTTTTTCCATATTAATCGAATCAAAACCTTCTAAATTCCGAAGGAATATCTTAGATATGAGTTGAATTTTTGAGCTACAGTTTTCATTGAATCTAGAGTACTGTATTGCTTATAGTACATATAACTTTTCTATTTCGCTCTGATATCTGCTGAATGTTTCAGCCTTTATGAACATACAGCTGTTATCTAAACGATTTCGAAGTAGTAATTATCACTGATATTTTCTAATCTGAAGGAAAATAATATTGAATAATGAAGTTCAGTTTACACTCAGTGAGAGAGTGAAATTAAAGAAGCAGGACCTAATGGTCTATTATTCATACGTTGAAGGGTGTATTATTCTACGCATTAACATAATAAGTTCATTACGGCAAAAATAATTCAAGTGAGTAATTATGATATAGTCGAATATTGAGTTCTATACAGTAACTTTAAAAAATATAATATATAGTTCTGAGTAATTAACTTAATTCGTGATCTGATTTGTCGAAACGATACTAATAAAAAGTCTGTTCATCTATTTTACTATTTCAAGTTGCGGCACAAATGAAAAGATACAACCTCGAGGTGCTCGGCATCAGTGAAACGCATTGGACACAGGTAGGACAACTGAGACTAGCTTCAGGGTAACTGCTGTTATACTCTGGTTATGAAGAGGAAAATGCTTCACATACACAAGGAGTTGCACTGATACTGTCCAAACAAGCACAAAAGGCACTGATAGGATGGGAATCTCATGGACCCAGGATCATTAAAGCATCCTTCAAAACAAAGAAAGAAGAAATTACAATCAACGTCATCCAATGTTATGCACCTACCAATAACTACAATGACGACGTTAAAGATCAATTCTACGAAAGGCTGCAGTCAATCGTCGAGAAATGTTCAGCAAAGGATTTGACGATTCTTATGGGAGACCTGAATGCCAAGGTTGGCATGGACAGCACTGGATATGAAGACATCATGGGACGACATAGGCTGGGAGAAAGGAACGAAAATGGTGAGAGATTTGCAAACCCATGTGCCTTCAACAAACTGGTCATCGGTGGCACAATATTCCCACACAAACGCATACACAAAGCCACATGGATTTCACCGGATCACACTACTGAAAACCAGATTGATCATATCTGTATCAACAAAACGTTCAGAAGGACCACGGAGGATGTGAGAACCAGGAGAGGAGCTGATATAGCCTCAGATCACCATTTGCTGGTCGCCAAAATGAAATTGAAACTGAAGAAGCACTTGACAACGGGACAGACAACATCACACAAGTTTAATATGACCTTTCTTCGGGATACCGTAAAGCTCAACGAATTCAGGATAGCCCTCACCAATAGGTTCCAGGCCTTTCAGGATCTACTCGATGGAGAGGACAAAACATTGGAGAACAATTGGAAAGGGATTAAGGAGGCAATCACTTCAACATTTCACGAAGTGATGGGTCACAAAAAGTACCATCATAAGGAATGGATCTCTTTTGGTACGCTTGAAAAAATTGAAGAAAGGAGGAAAAAGAAGGCGGCAGTGAATGTCAGCCGAACAAGAGCAGAGAAAGTTAAGGCGCAAGCCGAGTATACAGAGGCAAACAGGGAAGTGAAGAAGAGCATCAGAGCTGACAAACGAAAATATGTGGAAGATCTAGCAATGACGGTGGAAAAGGCTGCAAGAGAAGGAAACTTGAGACAACTGTACGAAACTACAAAGAAGCTGGCCGGAAACTGTCGTAAACCAGAACGACCAGTGAAAAGCAAGGAAGGCAAAGTAATCAGCAACACTGAGAAACAGCAAAATAGGTGGGTAGAGCACTTTCAGGAACTAGTGAATCGACCAGCTCCACTGAACACACCCAACATCGAAGCAGCATCCACGGACCTCCCAATTAATATTGGCACACCTACGATTGAGGAGATCAGTATGGCCATCAGACAAATCAAGAGCGGCAAAGCAGCAGGATCAGACAACATTCCAGCAGAGGCAATGAAAGCAGATGTAGAAGCAACTGCGAAAATATTTCACATCCTCTTCAAGAAGATTTGGGATGAGGAATAAGTACCATCAGATTGGAAAAAGGATACCTGATCAAAATACCAAAGAAAGGCGATCTCAGCAAGTGTGAGAACTACAGAGGCATCAGTCTTCTTTCAATACCAGGCAAAGTCTTCAACAGAGTATTGTTAAACAGAATGAAGGACTTCGTAGACGCCCAACTTCGAGATCAACAGGCCGGATTTCGAAAGGATCGGTCGTGTACCAACCAAATCGCTACACCACGGATCATTGTGGAACAATAGATTGAATGGAACTCACCACTCGACATCAACTTCATCGACTACGAGAAAGCATTCGATAGCGTGGACAGGAAAACACTGTGGAGGCTTCTTCGACACTACGGTGTGCCTGAGAAGATAGTAAACATCATACGGAATTCTTATGATGGATTCAACTGCAAAATCGTGCACGGAGGACAGCTAACAGACTCTTTCGAGGTGAAGACCGGTGTCAGGCAAGGTTGCTTACTCTCACCCTTTCTCTTTCTCCTGGTCATCGACTGGATTATGAAGACGTCAACATCTGGAGGGAAGCACGGTATCAACTGGACAGTTAGGACGCAGCTGGACGATCTGGGCTTCGCAGATGACCTGGCTCTTCTATCGCACACGCAACAACAAATGCAAGAGAAGACGACCAGTGTAGCAGCAGCCTCTGCAGCAGTAGGTCTCAACATACATAAAGGAAAAAGCGAAATTCTCCGATGCAACACAACATACACCAACCAAATCACTCTTGATGGAGATGCCTTGGAGGACGTTAACACCTTTACATATCTGGGCAGCATCATCGACAATCAAGGTGGATCCGATGCAGATATGAGGCGGATCGGCAAAGCAAGGGCTGCATTTCTACAGTTGAAAAATATCTCGAACTCCAAACAACTTTCAACCAAAACCAAAATCAGGATTTTCAATACAAATGTCAAGACAGTTCTACTGTATGGAGCGGAAACATGGAGAACTACCAAAGCCATCATCCAGAAGATACAAGTATTTATTAACAGTTGTCTACGCAAAATACTTCGTATTCGTTGGCCAGACACCATCAGCAACAACTTAGTGTGGGAGAGAACAAACCAGATTCGAGTGGAGGAGGAAATGAGGAAGAAGAGATGGAAGTGGATAGGACACACACTACGAAAAGCACCTAACTGCGTCACGAGACAAGCCCTCACATGGAACCCTCAAGGCAAAAGGAAAAGAGGAAGGCCAAAGAATACATTACTCCGAGAAACAGAGAAAGATATGAGAGGAATGAACAAATATTGGACAGAATTGGAGAGGGAAGCCGAGGACAGAGTTTGTTGGAGAAAACTGGTGGGCGGCCTATGCTCCATTGGGGGTAACAGGCATAAGTAATTAAGTAAGTCATCTATTTGTCTACTAGAAGTCTTTGATACAGAACGAATTATGTTGAAATCATGAACTATGAAATTTTAACCATTATATTTGTATTTTTACAATAATATTTCAAAATTTTTCTGTAAATCGTCTTCATAATACTGAAGTGATAGTTCTTGGGCGTAAACAGTGAGATACTCGTAAACAGGTTATGTTGGATTAGTTAGTCAATTCA